CAGGACTTGGTGGTCCCCATGTAGTCCCTAGGCTGCCAGGTGAATATACTTGATGTTATAATCATTTCAGTTTAGATTGTGCCTATATTTCTGGGCTTGAAAGGTCTCCCAATTTTTTTAAAGATAAGTGTGAAATGTATGCTTTGGGTATATGTGTTACACAGGCATATTCTATTATTACAAGTCCTATTGCAATTTTTTTAAAAAAAAGTACATGGTCACAGTAGAAAGCCTGTCTTACAGTGGTAAAGCAGCAAGAGTTTTTATTTATTACAATTCTAAAAAATAATCCAACTTTGTAAGTAAAAAGGAACTCTGATTATCATTTGAAACATTTAAATTTGAAATTACCTACTAAACAGAAAATCTTTACATATAGACAAGTCCAATGTATCTGTTGGGTTTTACAGACATAGAATTTCTGTAGGGTTTTGGGCCCTATCAACAGTTTCTATTAAGTACAAGGACAACAAAATAGAGCAATAACACAATGGGGCAGCCCTAGTGGACACCAAAGATGAAGAGCCCATTAACCAGGCCTGGGCCAGAGAAACCCACCCTATAGGCAATGCAAACTCTCTAACAGCTGAGCCTGGGCCCGTGCACTTTCTACCACAGGGCTGTCCGTGCCCATATGGGGATTGCAGTGGGCCAGACCCTATGGTACCAGTTCCAGGAAGCAGCCATCCTTTCCATCCTTTCCTAGAGGTTCCTTATCATTGACCGTTGATGTGTCCCTGGGATATTCGGGACTGAAATTAAGGACTCCAAACTCCTAACTTGCATATTCACTTCATATCCCACTGTCATCCCAAGAGCCCACTCAACAAGGGTAGTTATGGATGCTTACACTTTGCAGGCTGCCTGATCCTGGAACCAGCCCGGGCTCTTGGTCACGATCCCCATGGGGCACCAGTAGTCACAGAAAGTTCTTTAAGGCCAGAGATTATGGCAGTGGCTTCAGCCATGGTGAATAAAACCTCAGTATGTTACTCACAGCCAAGAGGGTTGCCAGTTGGGTTGAGCCATAAGAAAATGCACTTGAGATCAGTTGAGACTAAACTGTGTACACATAAGCAATAATGAATGTTACAAAAACCAACAACCACAAAAACAGAGCAGGGCTCTCAAAATCCAGAAACCAGAAATTCATTTAAAAATGCTTAAATATAATTATACAAAGAGGAAAAAAAATCTCAGCTAAACAACAAAGTCAAGCAACCTTATTTCCAAATCTACATGGCTAAAAAATGACCTGTGCTGAACTTTGGTACTTTTTCCCTTGATATTTTAGGACATGTGAGAGAATGTAAGTAGAAAATGTACAGAGAAGGCACTAGCAAAAAAAAAAAAAAAGTTAATCCCCCTCTCCCCAAAGTTCACACTCATCATGTGAATTTTAATACTCCACGATGTTGACTCTGAACTCAATCCTTTAAAATTCTGTGGAAATGGTAGTTTGGGTGTTAATTTACAGTTGCTTGAAGCTCATCAGGAGAAAATCAGGCAGAGAACATCATGAGCTACATCACGAGGGAGAGCTGGGGTTGTGGCACAACATTATCATGTGGTTTGTAATCTCAGAATATGCCCTGATTTACGAAGAAAGAGGACTGACCTGCTCCTCTGGCATTATCAGAACTGGAGAACAGTAGTTTTCCTTATTCTCCCTGCTAAGCATTCAAATTAGTTTAGAAAGGAACTAGGTAAATATAGAGCCTCATTCAAAATAGGTTGAAAAACTACCTGAAAATACCCATGACTTAGCAAATAATTTGCTTATTTTTAAAATTAAAAAAAAAGTTAAAAAAATCTTTTATTCAGAAAATTAAAAGAGAGGCTTCTGTATTTTAAAGCAAAACAATTCTGCAAGAGATATTTTCTTCTAATTATGGTTGGTAGTAGTAAAGTTTTAAATATATCAATGCTAATTTTTCTTCAACGTATATATCCTAAATGATGCTTTTGGGGTTACGAAGTTTTCTTGATGTTTATCTCTGGGGGAAAAATGTGAGTAAGCAAAAATCTGTATTTCAGTATTTATCAAAAGTTGTTAAGTTTTCTCATAAATAGGGTTTGAACTTGAATTTGTATAGCTACCTTTTTAAATGTAGGGTAGGCAGGGCCTTTCTATGGTTATTCACAAATCATCCTTTCCCTTTTTTGAAGAGTATGATATAAAGGTGCTCTGATAGGAAGTTTCTCATTGAAAATACTAAGAAAGTATATTTCCTAGTGTAAGAAAAAAAAGTAATTTAAACTGTTTTTACTCAATCACAATTAAGAGAATGTGTGGTATGCATTTTTTTCATTTCTGGAGAGGAGTTTATAGAAGTGTGATTGATTACTAGTCGTATCTGTACAAAAACATTTTGGTAATCCTAAGAAAGTAAAAGCAATATTTTGTTCCAAAGGTTATAAATTCAGATGTAGGAACAGGGAGGTGGTAAGAGACCTGGTAGAACTGGCGTTTACTAATAAACACAGAGCAAGACAGAGATGTTAGAAAAGGTGCCTCAGAAATAAGTAAACAGAAAACCCTAACACCTCCTACCCCTACTCCATTTCAGATTATAAAGCACCTGTTACAATGTACTCGAGTTTAGTGATTCCACATTAGATACATTATAAATATATCTTTCTTAAAGAATCTATAGAAAATATCATATATATAAAATTGCTGTATATTGCAAAATAGTTTAAAACCTAAAAATTTTGTATAAGCATATCTACCAATATAAAATATTATTTTTTCTCCACATCAATTGGGTTTTTTTATCCATACAATTGTATCGTTTCCAAAGCCCATCATAAACCCAACCGACTTATACACTGTTTGAAATACACAGACATATACATATATACACACTCACACAGAGATAGGAGCACACGTTTGAGTTCACAGAAAAAAAGCACAATCACCAACAAAGCATCTCTTCGTAGATATTTGTGTTTGCAAAGTGTTTTAATGTGGAAAAATAATTTTTAACTAAATTCTGCTCCTCATCGAACACAGTGGGCATAAGAGTTTTAGCTGCCTGTCACATTCTAAATAAATTTCTTGATTTTGTTACGGTCAAAGACTCAGATATTTATATGTGAAATTCCTTATGTTCCCCGTGTTAAGGGCCTAATCTAGCTCGATGAGAGAATAAAAGGGGGCTCTCAGTGTAACACTATAACGACACGGATTTAGGCTCATGCCTACAGCCCTTACCAAAATCTTGTACTCCTTGTGTATCCAACTTTTCCTCCCCAGTAAAACATGCTCAAAAGAGAATTCTGGGCTTCAGATTTTACCATGTACCCTGGAAATTGTGGAATGTCAGTACTGAGCTCTAGATCAGGGAGGCTCCAACACTAGCAGCCAAAAACCCAGGCTTTCTGTTTATCTGATATTTAATCACAATAAACTCTTGGTTAGACAAAACAATCACAACTTGCTCTTTAATGGCATCGGGCAAATAATTAATCTTTTGGAAGAGCTATCGGGAAACAAATGTTTTCCTTGCCTTTGGATTAAGCCGGTCAACTGGTGAGCTTGATAACATTCGTCCTGGGAATGTAACCCGTTGATGTGTAAGTATTTAGCCCCTAGCCTCACCTAGTAAACCATTTAATTATTTGTAAGAAAGCTAATTCATGAGAAGCAAAGCACACTGCAGGTAAACAGTCCACTATGAGAGAACCCTATGAAGGAAGATACAGTAATTAGAGAATCTTACATATAAAACAAATCATTTATTCCTTAAAGGTTACTGTGTTTATATAGCTTTGATTCAATTAGGTTAATTTTTTAGCTTGAGGCTTTAAATAATCATGTATTTAGCCCAGATATTTTATTCCCCAACCACTGGGAATGGGGTATTGACAGATTTAGTGTGGTCAATTAAAAATAAATGAGATAAAAAGTGTTAAAATTTATGGGATGGGGAAGGAAAACATCCCTAAATGTTTCCAAAAGAAACATCAAAGGCAAATTAGATCCCAAACCCTCAAATTAGGGCACATGCAATTTAACATCTGAATAGGCAATTTAAACTCAGAACAGGGACATTTCCTCTTCTTGTATCCCTTTGTTTCTTTCCTCTTTGGCATGTAGTAAAGACATAATTTGCTAGTGTAGCCCCTCCTATCTAGGACAAGACAAAATAATAGGGACAAAGGAGTGAATTCTGTACCTGATGAGGTTTTTTTTTTAAAAAAAAAAAAAACTGAACTGTGATTAGTTATTAAGTAAAAGGGCAAAGTGTAAATCGTTCTGCCAATCGTGTGATCCGGGAAGATTTTACTGGCTTATTGTATGTGACTTTAAAGACAAAGATGCTTGGTGTCTACTTACACAAGCATTTGTCTGACTCTGATTTTCAAATATACGCTCATCGCTGCTCCTCATGCAAGCTTTCCTGCCAGGGGACCACCTTCATTTTCTAGCAGAAAGGGTCCCCAAGTAGATCACACATACTGCTCTCAAGCCCCTGCCGGGACTGAGGAAGGACCACTTCTCTCAAAAAACGACAGCAGCTGAAAGGGGCGCCATCGGGTGACGCAGAGCGCCGCTCCTGCACTTGGTAGCCCGGCGGGACGCAAACACGCCTGTGGCTGAAGTTGTCGCAAACTGCCATACTTTATAGAAGAAAAATCTGGATTAAACCCACTGCTGGCACTGATGAGTTATAGAAAAGGCTCATTTCTTCTCCCCTCCTCTCGCTCCTGACCGGTGACAGACACCGGGATGGGTAATTGCATTTTTTTAAAAAGCATGTTCTAATCGACATTAACGACACCTAATAAGGAAAAGCCATGGTTATTTCCCCAAATGCACCAGGCACGTCCAAAGCACTTTTCTATTCAGTGATTACTTCCATTGCGGCAGTATAAGCCACCAATTAATGACAACACCAGAAAAATATAATGCAGTCAGAGTGAAACACAAACAACTTCTAACATTCATATACCCCAGCAATGCATACACACATACACACATGCTCCCACTTTTGGGGGGATATTCATCGCTGAGGAGAGAGCTTAGGAGGTTTCCCCAGGTACACAATTCACCATCTGAGGAGGTGCTGTCCAGGTGAGTAAGTATAAGTTAGGGTGAACTATGTCTGCAGCAAACCCATGGCAACCTAGCAGGATGATGACACTCGGTCATGGTTTACTCCATGTAGGATATGTACGGTAAGACTGGACCAGCTCAGCTCCTGCAGGCGTTAGCATTCACTCATCTTTTCGTGGAATATGAAAGGTAAACTGAGGTTTCTTTGGTGCTGGTCGTTTGCTTGAAAGGCAGATTTTTCTTTTGTTGTGGCACTGATGTTGTCTGGGGAAGTCTCTTCATGGTCTTCCTCTTCTCTCGGATTACCCTCCAGGCTGTGTCTAATGCCATAAGCGAAGTAGATCAGGAAACCTTTTAGAGGGAAGAAAAAAAAAATCAATGTTTTAAGTACGTCAGAAAATGACTGAATATGGAAGATGTAATATAGAACTTAGTGGGGTTTTTTTCCTCCTCTTTCTGGGCTAATTTAGGACAGAATGCAAGTACAGAATCCCCCTGCAGAATCCCCAGTGGACGCTTTCCCAGTAGAATGTGCTTCTGCATTTTTAACACCCAATCTTTGTAGAATGTGTGTTTCTCCCAATTAAGTGTTTTTCAGACATTTATGTTGAAAAAAATTATATTTATTTTCTCAAAACTCAATACTATACTTTAAACAAAAGGATATGGGGTAAAATCTCAAATTACATCCCAAACACAAGTGGTGGGTTATCGGAGTCACAATCAGGTATTTTGGAATACACGCCCTGTGTAAACAAAGTGGACATGGGCGTGCTTTACACGTGTTACTGTCACCAGGAGAGGCCAAATAGGGGCGCCTGGGTGGCTCAGTGGGTTAAGCGTCTGCCTTCAGCTCGGTCATGATCCCAGGGTCCTGGGATCGAGCCCCATATCGGGCTCCCCGCTCAGCGGGGAGTCTGCTTCTCCCTCTGCCTCTGCCCCTGCTTGTGCTCTCTAACTCTTTCAAATAAAATAAATAAAAATCTTTAAGAAAAACAGGAGAGGCCAAATAATTATATACAAAGCAATTGATTATTAACAGCCATGCTCATTGGGAATTAGAAGGAAAGGTTTTACGTATCCCCACCAGATAGTTTATTACTTACATGTAGGCATTTTGCTCTGTTTTAGTTATAGATTTAAAAATTGGTTGCGAGTTTTGGGTTGATGAGAAATGCTTTATAATTTTCCCATCTAAAATAACGAGAAGTAGGCTGCCAATTAGCATTTTGGCAGGTGCCGTGATTAGGGATAATTCTACTTCCTCTCCTGTCCTCAAAGGTTTAAAGACCCAGCCCTCCCCGTCCTCAAATAAAGGTACTACCATCACCGTTTTACAAAGAAGCAGGCACAAAAACGGGCCAAGGCCACAAGGTGAATAAATGGCACAGGTGGATTCAAACACAGAAGAGTCTGGCTCCGAAGTTCATGCTCTTAACCAAGATCAAGTACATTAAACCACAGTGGTCTATGTCTGAGGAGAGAAGCAAGGGCTCATGGAAAGGCAGGAAGCATGTTGAAGTTCTCTGCCAGATTCAAAAGAGATTCTTCTGGGCTCAGAGGAGGGGAGTGAGTTCTACGGGTTTGGACTCGGCTTCCTGCGAGCACATGGGCCGGACCCCAAAGGAACAGCTGCATGGTTACATCCCGGAGTGTGAAGCTGAACGGCAGAGAGAAGCAACAGAGCCACCAACCAGAAGTGGCCACTGTGACCGAAAGAGAGAACAAACTAGTGTAACCCGTGTGGAATAACAGCCTGTGACCCAAGGCACCAGCTCCTCAATTCCCTGGCACAAGGTAAGGTCCCCAGAATATGGCCAAACTCTAGTGTGGGTATGGGGAGATGAGCAAAACTGACAGCGGTTAAATCTCTCATCAATTCAACTGGATTGGTGGCTTAAATTGAAACTGAATTAATTTCTAGCCAAAGCAAACAATTATATACACCAGCATGAACTTAGGTTCATTCTTGGTAAGCCAACGGGAGGACTGTCAAAAAGCACACTCTTCAGCTCTCCAGCTCCTCAGGTGACCCAAACCAATGCAGACTTAGTGCTCCTTTCTCCGTGCTTCACCTTACAGACATGTCTGTTCACATTTTTAAGACAACTGCTTAGGGCCTGGGTGGCTCAGTTGTTAAGTGTCTGCCTTCGGCTCAGGTCATGATCCCGGGGTCCTGGGATAGAGCCCCGCATCGGGCTCCCTGCTCGGTGGGAAGCCTGCTTCTCCCTCTCCCACCCCCCCTGCTTGTGTTCCCTCTCTCTCTGTGTCGCTCTCTATGTGCTGTGTCTCTCTCTGTCAAATAAATAAAAAAATAAAATCTTAAAAAAAAAATGAGACAACTGCTTAGTGCTTTAGTTACACCAAATGTAAACTCTCATTTTCGAACTCAATTTTCACATGGGAAAGGAATCATAATAAAAAACCATGTGGTAGAGATATAAATAAGCTCACTCATCTTATTTAATGCTAAATCCCAAGGTTCAAATAATAAGAAATTTGGATAACAAAAGAAATTTTTTGCTCTTAGCTCATTCAAAATGTCTTCAGAAATCCACTGGGACACTGGAAAGAACTGGCTTTGGAATCAGAGTCTTGCACTGCCATCCACAAATTCAATCGCTTGACTTTTGGGGGCTTTTTCCCCCCTCACCCATTAAGTTGGAGAAACAGAATCTACGGGGTTCTACAGGGTTCCTGGGAGAATTTAATTAAAAAAAAAAAAAGGTATCCGAAAACATTTGGAGAGGTAAGGACTCAGATGATCTAAAATTTGGGAAACGAAGAAACTGACAAAAACCCTTTATTTCCAAGAAGGGGGAGGGGATGCATTTCTCTAATCAGCATGAAACTGGGAAGACAGAACCACGGCTCAGAAAGCTAAAACATTAAAAAAACCTACCAAGTGCCATCCAAATGCTAAATCTTATCCAAGTGTCTGCGCTCAACTGGACCATCAGGTAGATGTTCACCAGGATGCTGAAGGCTGGCAAGAATGGTAAGAAAGGAACCTAAGGGGAGAAAATATCTTCTTCAATGTACTCAAATTTGGAAAGTACATTCCTCAAACTGTTTCAACATGGTGACAACTAATTTGACATATATTCTTTCACACTGTGTCAGTAAGTTTATATTCTTACAAAAAGGACAACCTGAAGAAAAAAATCATTCTTGTAGAGTCTACTACAGGGAGCGTCACAGTCTATAGTACTTAAGTGCGGCCCAAAGCAACAGGGGATTTCTCCGGCCCGCTAACATCCGTATCATCACCAAGATGCAATTGGCAGTAGGGTTTGGTTTAGTTTAGGGTTCACTGGTTTCATTCAGATGTCAATAGGGCATGCCTCTGGAAGTCTGGATACACATGGCATCTGAGAGGGATCCTTCCAGGAAGCTCTCTTCAAATCCAAACCTGCTCCTCATTCAAATCTGACAGGATAATTATAGCAGAAGGGCTTTTGGTGGGAATAATCTTCTTGCAAGAGGACTGAATTTCTAAAATACAATATTCTACTTATTCTTTGATACTATAGATTACTTGACAAGAAATTTGTTTACCATTATAGATAATAACGTGATAGGAGCATATTCGAGTTTTTGAAAAGCCATGTAGGGAGAACCCTTATGACAAAAAGAACATCTCAAAGAACTGCGACACTCTTGTTCTTTACCGGTTAACGTCATCAGAAGGGTCTTTTTCTCTTTTTCTTTTTAAAAACAACTTACAAAACTAACGCACCAGATAATATTGAGGATCTCTAATGTTCAGTATTCATACCATGAAGGCTACTTTTTGCTGATTCTGGGGCTGCCTCCAAATGGCGAGCACAACGGCAATGCAGAGAACAAGAAACAGGACAAGAAGAGCAACACTCCATGCTTCTAGCCGGGCAATCGCTTGGACTCCGTAAGTGGTCAAGATACTCAGGCCCAGAACAAGAAATGCTGCAAAGGTGATATGCAGGTGACACAAAATCAGCACACACATTTCACTCAGATTCCCCCGGCTCGAGCAGTCTCTTGTGATAAGATATCAAGGTCTTCCCATAGCGTCTTTGTCAAATACTACGATTCTTCGTTTTCATTATGGGAGAAAATGGCTGTTTGCACAAATTTAAGAACCACCGCTCGCTTACTCATGACTGTCTCCTCCGCCCCCCTCTGCATTACCAGCCTGCTTTTCCTTCCTACATGGCATCAGGCTCCTCCTGTGCTACATTCTCACACTATATCACATGGATTGAACGCGATAATGTCAGGGGTGGAGATTTTCCTTTTTTCAAATGGGAAATGGCAAGTCTGTCCGTGTTCTGCTCTTGTAAACACCATTCACGCAAACAAATAATGAATGATCTGTGTCTTTTCGCCCTCTTTCAGAAGGTGACATCACCACCCACTCACCCTATTCCTGACCATCATGTCTGCATTCGGGGTCCCTCCTCTGTGCTCTAGAGAAGCCTCTACTTCCCTTCGCTTGCCACCAATAATCCTGTTCCTCAAAGCCCAGTGAGAGCAAGGACCATCTTTCTTGCTATCCCAAGGGCTCCACAGAGTTCTTGACACGTTGATGGTGCTCAATGAATGTTGCTGAAAATATGACTGATTATGTAACTGTGAGTGAGCAAACAAGATGTTCTGTATTGTCTCCCAGTCTCCTTCCTGGCAGGTCTTCCTGGCCGGAAGCTTGCACACAGGGAGCCCCCTAACAGCCACTGAGAGGGACCAGCTCTGTACAGGGGCCACTCACACCTCGGAGAACTTCTTCCTTTCTTCTTTGATGACAAGACCCATGTATCCTGCTACTCTATGGTCTCAGCTCCTAGCGACCGGTTAGGTGGAGATTTCAGGGCTTGGGGCAGTGGCAAGCATAGGCTAAGGCCACGTAAGAAATTTTGTCCTCTCTCACATCATACCTGCTCCACCGACGCACACCCGGGGCCCTTCCTAGTGGACACCGCGCAGAGGACTCACCAAGAAATCCTACCAGAAAGCTCACGAGAGAAGACGACTGCTGTGTAGGCAGAGCCGAGGGGCTCACGAGGATGCGCAGGCTGAGGCCCTGCCCCTGCAGCACGGCGACCTGCGACTCGCTCTTCGAGGCAGCATTGCCGCATGACCCCAGAGCTGCTTTCTCAGGACAGCATTTGGGCTGCTCGTAAGATAAGCCAGGCTGGTACCTGGCCCCAAATAAACAAAAGTCTGTGTCTTTATTCTCAGACAGACACTTGGCCCAAAGGAAGCAAACACTGAACACTCGCGGTGAGACACCTGACAGGGTCCCCGCTGGGGCAGTGAATTGACCCTTCTCATGACTTGCGCCCCAGAGCGGGCTGAGCCAGGCCACAAACCTGCTCCATGAGATATCTGCAGCACCCCTGAATTCCCTCTACAGTCATTTACTTGCAGAGTTACATATTAGATGCAGAAGGGAGGGACATTTTCACCCAAGGCAACTGGGACTACAGGGGGATTAGCCTGGAAATATCTGTGTCCAAAGGAAATGCAGTTCCAGAAAACAGCACAGAAAGTCTGGCTAAGCAGCAGCCTCAGAATGACACCTAGTCTTCAGGTTGGCATCTGCTGCCTCTGGCAGTCTGCCTCTCTGGCCTCATGTCCCTCAACTTCCTCTCTCAGTCCTCCAGTGTAACCCTGACGAACTCTGTTCCGCCCCTGCCATGTCCCTTTCTCGACAAATCCTTTTCTTCTCCAGCCTCCGTCAGGATATCGGCCCACTTCACCTCCTAGGCTCTGCCCCAGTCCCCTCACTGTGGTCTCTTTCCCTCTGGGCAGCCTTCACTTAAATTTAAAAGTAACATTTGTCCTCAGTCTAAAGAAGAAATAGGGCTCACTGAGAAAAAAAAAAAATACACAAAACATACAGAAGAAAATCAAAACCCCCCACAATACTACAAACCCAGCGTTAATCACTGCCAACATTTTGGCACAATTTCAACCAGGCGTAAGTGCATATATGTGTATATCGATGCAAAATGACTTCTTCACGTTAAGTTATGTTATAATTTAAATAAATGCAGACACTGTATACAGCTTTGCTGAATCGGATACATTTCTCCATATAATTAAGTATAACTAAGAAAAAGAGTCCACTGAATAAATGTCCCCTTTTGTGTTTAACTACTCTGCTATTGATATTCAGGTTCCGTTCAATTTTTTCACTCTGGTAAATTACCTTTTCATAAACATCCTTTATATAGATCTGTGTGTGCCTCACCGAGTAAAATCTTTATTATAAAATCTTAGCAGCTGAAATGTCCACAATAGCCAAACTGTGGAAAGAGCCAAGATGTCCACTGACAGATGAATGGATAAAGAAGATGTGGTATATATATACACAATGGAATATTATGCAGCCATTAAAAGGAATGAGATCTTGCCATTTGCAACGACGTGGATGGAACTGGAGGGTGTTATGCTGAGTGAAATAAGTGAATCAGAGAAAGACATGTATCATATGACCTCACTGATATGAGGAATTCTTAATCTCAGGAAACAAACTGAGGGTTGCTGGAGTGGTGGGGGGTGGGGGGGATGGGGTGGCTGGGTGATAGACATTGGGGAGGGTATGTGCTATGGTGAGCACTGTGAATTGTGCAAGACTGTTGAATCACAGATCTGTACCTCTGAAACAAATAATGCAATATATGTTAAGGAAAAAAAAAAGAAGAAGATAGCAGGAGGGGAAGAATAAAGGGGAGTAAATCAGAGGGGGAGATGAACCATGAGAGATGATGGACTCTGAAAAACAAACTGAGGGTTCTAGAGGGGAGGGGGGTGGGGGGATGGGTTAGCCTAGTGATGGGTATTAAAGAGGGCACGTTCTGCGTGGAGCACTGGGTGTTATGCACAAACAATGAATCATGGAACACTACATCAAAAACTAATGATGTAATGTATGGTGATTAACATAACAATAAAAAAAATTAAAGGAAAAAAAATCTTAGCAGCTGAGATACTGGGACAAAAACTATAATATTTTTAAGTGTTTTCATACATTACAAGAACTTGCTGTTCATATAGATTAAGCCAACTTATTACTAATTATCCATTGTATTTAATTCTTGGCTAAGGACTAAGTACGTTTATTATACTTTATACTGATGTTTCTCTGTCCATGGCCTCTCACCTCTGTAAGACCACTAGCTCCTTGAAAACAAGGATGGTGAGTCCTATTTTCTTTATTCCCTGGGCCCCACATGACACACACCCTTGAGAACCAATGAGGACACTCACCTGAGGATGAGAACACACGCAGCAACCAGAGAGTAGGCCAGAAGGGTGCCAATGGACATCATGTCCACAAGTGCCTTCAGGTCAAAGAGAAATGCCATCACAGCTATTGGGAAAAGAACAGAATGGTTAAAAAAAAAAAAAAAAAAGACCTATGACAAAACTCCATACAGTTGATAACTTCCAAGTCAGGGACAACCGGCATTTTTATGGTTCCAGTATCCATGATAAATCAAACAAACTATAGGAAATATATTTCTCACAGCTAAAAAGATGATCCTTGGGTCATATAAACTGCTAGTAAAACTTCAAAAACCCTCAGCCATCTATCAAGTATAAAACACATTCTACTTTGATTATTTAAAAAATATTGGCCTGACAAAGTGAAAACATTCTATGACAGAATATTCTCCTTTGATGTTTCAAAAGAAAAACATGGCTCAGAAATACTGGCTAACTCTTTTTAAAACAACCATTAAAAAATTCAAACGGAAGATCTTTCATTATAGATGTTACATAATCATTTCAACTTCCATCCGCATTTTGAATTATGCCACATACAAATCAAAGTAATTTCCAGTTAAATTATGTTTCCTATAGAGGCAAAATTCTATGTTGGGTAAAACTCCACACTCCGAGAAGACTGACTAGATTTGAGAGATGAATCGATGTCTCACACTCAAATCTCAGTAATGTTCTGATGCAAAATATACCTTTCCATTTGAAGAGTGAACTTGCACCGAGCAATTTTTTCTCCATTGAAACATCAAATAGTGATGACTTGACTTGCCCACATAGTTGTCCCCTATCATCCTCAGTAGAAACACCACATTCCATTCACATGCTGTTCCAGACATCTCTTAGCAAGCTTTATATCTCTGTGACCTCAATTTATCTTTGATCCAATAATCCTCTGAGACAGAGGAAATGATATAGGTTTAACCAAATGCAGTGGCCAGAATTTGACTGGTTTTGACCCTGAGACCAGCAATTTCACATGGTCTGACCTGATAAGATTATGCTCCTCATTTTATAGACAGGCTAACTTAGCATAGTGACAACTATGAGGGGGCAGTAGAGTTCCAGGTAAAGTCTATCTGTACCCTACTTCCCCATGCTCCTTCTACAATATCACATGGTTTCTTTAAATACATCTCATGCCTTACTTTGAAAACCTTCTGTTGCTAATATAGTTATACATTAGATTAAAATTACAATACATTCTGTAAGAACCACAAGTAGCAAAATAAGTAGCCAAGACAGAAGAAAATGATTAATTGTCCAGACAAGCTCTCTGATCTAAGCTAAAAACGAGCAAAGTAAGGCGAGGGAGTACAAATAACAAAAATATAATATTTCAGAATGTTAAAAAAAAGCCTTCTGCTACAATTATCTTCTGTTAGTTATTAATGTCAATATATTAGGCTGCCAAATTAAATTCTTTCTGAAGAAAGAAGGATACATTTTTTAAAGCTCTGAATACAAAATAGAGTATTACTGGGCAAGATTTCACTGGGGAAAAAAAAATAAACGTTTTTATGGAATAAATAAAATATGTGATCCTTTGTCAGGATTTATAAACTCTTTTTAATAGCATAATCCACTGTTTAATAATAAAATGGGCTTTAGATCATCTAGTGCAACCTTCATTTCATGGGGGCAGAAATCTAAGCAGTAAGAAAATAAGGGACTTGACCTTCTAATGTATGTCTAATAAAGTGCCAGATTTATTAGAAAACATTGACAAAGTGAAGGTGCTGAGGCAAATACTTTCCGACTCTGAAAAAATACCATTTCATACATAATTAAGCATTATCATTCTTTAATTTCCCCCAAATTCAGAGTCTCAACCAAGTTATCAGTTTTGGATTGAATTTCTACTGCCAAAATAGCTTTAAAAAGTTTGATGAAGTCTCTCTCTTGCTTTCTCTAACAGGACCTTTAAGGCCATTCTCTCAGTCTGTAGAATCTCTTTGAAAATTTCTGCATGGAATAAGAATCTGGCCAACGGCATTTTACAAAGACGTTCTGACATCCCCAAAGGTGGGCATCTGGGAGTTTTTTGTTTGTTTGTTTGTTTTAACATGAGTTAAGTATCAAAACTGTTGAAAGCAAAAATAGATTCCTAATGGGGTCTAACGGGAAATAGTTGTTAGTAAGCATTAGAGAACAGCGGTGGTCCCGGATGTGCATCTAGATAACCCCACACCAAGGACAGTGATTACTACAGTCAAGTATCAGTTACCCTGACATTTCTTATGCTTAATTAAAAATGAGTAAAAATACAGTGAAGAACCATTACAACCCTCTGCACATTTGTTAGAAACCCAAAAGGTTAAAATAACAAAATAGTAACAAAAGTCCCCACGGGTCAGTTAAGAATGAATTTCAGTAGACCACCACCACCACCACAATTACCAGATCCCAATGCTCATAACCTCATTTATCAGTGATTCTTTTTCTTAACTTGCATGCACAGCAAGCAGACCCTCTTTATAAGTCCATGCATGCGCATAAAATGTTCAAGGCCAATGTTGAAGACTCCTGTGTTTGTAAAGCTTACCAGAAATGACCCCTGCCGTCAACGTGGCAGCAACTGGTGACTGCCTCTTACTCACTCTGCCAAGAAATCTAAACAGTAAACCGTCCCGGGCCATGGCAAATAGAATTCGGGGTAAAGGAAACATAGAGCCCAGAAGACTAGAACAGAAAAATTCATAATCCACACGTGAGTTATTGCAAGCATTATTCTAGACAGGTATACACAGGTAAAGACCGGACACACTAAAATGCAGAACCTATGCCAAAATAATTCAGAATAGGAAAATATTCACAAACAAGTTATTGACCTTTACGTAATAAAGACAGAAAACTGCCTAACTTTGCATTACTCTTCAGAATCCTTGATGGAGAAAAGATCCCCCTTTTCTTAAAAAAAAGTCAACTCTCACCTGCCACTGCACCCGATGATAAAGTAGCAATTATTGGTGTCTTCGTTTTGGAATTGATTTGAGCTAGACATTTGAAAAGCAACCCATCCTCCGCCATAGCATAGATTACACGAGGCATTGGGAAAATGGATCCAAGAAGACTGAATAAAAAGCAAACACATGCAGTATGGCAAACACATTCATGCAAGATTACATCTCAGAACAGAAATTAAGTATTTGGATAAAACTCAGCGTCACAGCTCTGATTACAAAGTCTTGTTATTTTTAAAACGTGTTATGATTGGGCATTTAAAAATATTTGCCAATATTTACCATTGTGCTACTTATTATTCTCTTGCAGACATTTTGCCCAGCACACTTACCAGACTAAGCAATACTGCGAGTAATTTATGCATGCCCACAAATTATTACTGAATTAAAACTAAGTAATTAAGACTTAAGAAAACCAAACCCAATCGTCTCATTGAGGCAATTTTAGTGGCCATAACTCAGAAATTAAAATTCCTAAACTGATATGAAATTAAAGAAGGGATTAGGTTATTTAATTGCATGGTATTGTCACTTCATTTATTCGATAATTACAAACTTCTTATATTTATTTTATCATTATTTTTCCTCATATAGCCTGATATTTCATCAAATCAGTAATAATACCCAGCAGCGTAAGATAATCAGGAGAGAAAGGGTAAAAAAAAAACAAAAAACAACTTACTGTAAATTTAGTACATAGAAGTAGCCACGATTAAAAGTCAGGAACAGTGAATTTAAGAAAACGTTCCTTGCTTTAGATGTTTCGAATTTCTTGTGTGTTTACTGGCTGCACCATTCCATACATGACTTAGTTATAAAAAATAACCATTAAGAGAAAATATGTAAAATATTTTATTTTAAAAATTCATTTTCTTTCTCTTTTGATAAGGCTGGGTTGAGCTTGGCCCTGGATAAATCTTTGTCCTTCTACCTTCTTAAGACCATGATGGCATGATGTCTTCATAGTTCAGATTCTTGAAAGTACTTGAAATTATTCAGAATAAACCTCAAACCTCAGAATAGCAGATGGCTGAGAAACCAATGGGGGTAAATTTCTAATTGCTGCTAAATATTATCTTGAATGGAAAATAAACAAGACTTTGAGAGAGAATAAAAGCTAGGCTGATGAATTATATAAAAAGATTGCTTTTTCCGGGCGCCTGGGTGGCTCAGTTGGTTAAGCGACTGCCTTCGGCTCAGGTCATGATCCTGGAGTCCCGGGATCGAGTCCCGCATCGGGCTCCCCGCTCAGCGGGGAGTCTGCTTCTCCCTCTGACCCTCTTCTCTCTTGTGCTCTCTGTCTCTCATTCTCTCTCTCTCAAATAATAAAATCTTTAAAAAAAAAAAAAAGATTGCTTTTTCCAACTTTAGACTTTCAAAAAATTATTTTCCCTTTAAAAAATTAGCAATTAGGCAAAGAGATTAATTTTCTCTTTGTAAGAATGTCCTACGGGATACCATGATATAAACTAGAATGAAATATCTTATGGTCACATGTTAATTTGAAATGTGAGTAGCTCAGGGAACCTGAGAAATGAATTCTCAAGTATTAAAACAACTGGAAGAAGAGTCTTGGAATAGACCAGACCCTGAGAAATGTCTCCACAGCTAATTTCAGAATAGTAATTTCTATTTCTAGACCAAAGTCACTCTGATGAGTACCAAGAGAAAAAGTCTTAGTATTTCACGATAAAAAGACATTATACTTAACAATGTCACAGCATATAGCCCCCAGTCACGATATTATTTTAAAAGGCAGCAGAAAATGTCAAGTCTGCATCTAAGGTCTTGGTTGTCTGTAGCACTATAAGTAATTCCACAGCCAGCCCAGAAACAAGCTAGTATAAGCATCCTACCGTTTTATAATACATACATATATGAATATGTGTGACATACACGTACGTGTATGTGTTCGTGTGTATCGATGCCTTATACATTTCTACTGAAGCTTGGACCATCATTATCTTGAAAAACTGACTTTTTTTTTTTTAAAGATTTTATTCCTTTATTTGAGAAAGAGAGAATGAGAGAGAAAGCACAGGAGAGGGGGGAGGGTCAGAGGGAGAAGCAGACTCCCCGCCGAGCAGGGAGCCCGATGCGGGACTCGATCCAGGGACTCCAGGATCATGACCTGAGCCGAAGGCAGTCGCTTAACCAACTGAGCCACCCAGGCACCCGAAAAACTGACTTTTAACTGATGGGTGAAAAAGTTTTTATCACTTAAGATTTGTATGTGGCAATTCTGGTCAAACTATTCAGAGAAGACATAGTTGCATAATATATTCCTTATATAAAGATTACTTTTAAAACCTATAAAAGCAATTCTTTAAACACGGACTATTTGGCGGTATTACCAACAGCCCCAGCATCAAAGGCAATGTGATCAATGTACCTTGTTGACAAAGCACAGAGAGAACCCGCCGCAACAACATATTTGGCGGGACCCCATCCAACATATTCAAATGCTACCGGAAGCGGGCTTTTCTCATCCAGGAGGTAGTATGGCATCATAAGTGTTAAAGCTGCAGAGACCCCAAAGTAGGCCATAAAGCAAACAAGCAAAGAAGTCACGATTCCAATAGGAATAGCTTTCTGAGGATTCCGGACTTCTTCACCTAAGGAGATATAAACAAAAGATTTGCATCCTTAATGAAACATTAATAGACACAACATGGATTCTTCTTCTCCTTCATAGTCATTTCACTCTGCTTTTGCACCTTCTGTTTTCTTAGCTTGTTCCATGTATTCTACATGAAATTTTCTCTCTTCTTGAGAGTACTATGCTATTACACAAAATTCCAATTTCTAGAGGCAAAAAGAGAAAGCAAGAAATCATGCAGGTCGGTTTCCCACTTCTAGAAAGAAAAGACATGATATACCAGTGCTATTAAATATTTCAGGATAGTATGGCAGTCTTAATCTATTTGGAAAATGATTCATCCACAGAAATTAATGACTATCATAGCATTCTGTGGGCCCTTAAATAGGAATGCTTCCATAAATATGAAAATAAGACGTTTTCTACCCAATGCATGAATTTATATTAAACTCTGGCTTCAACACAAAAATAGTCCTTGAATCTTTCTAATAAGATTTGGCATTTGAAGTGTCCCAAAATGGCCAATTACAAGGCCATACAGTAATATGAACCCGGAAGAAGCATTTAGCGAATGATTCTGGTATGATTACTTTGTTGTACAGGATAAAGAGAAAAGAAATGCCACAATCTATTTTGTCCTACTAAAGAAGAGACAATTTACAAGCATGATCATCATTTGTTACTCATTGTGATAGTACTGGAGATTACTTACAGACTAAAGGTTAAGGACAGTAATTACGACTAACATTTATAAAATACTTGACAGCTTGCAAAGAATCTTTTATGTGTATCGTATCTTAAGTAACCTTCATACCGTGAGCATGAGGGGTAGGTCCTGGTTCTCCCCACTTTACCAATTAATGGAATCCAAGGCTCAGAGAGTTTCACAAAGTTTCTTTTTATCATATACAGAAGGTGTCACAGCTGGGGCTGGAACCAGCCTGTATTACCCCAAATCCCACTCTTTCCTTGACCCTCTACTGCCCCCCGTGGGTACTCCCGTAGAACAAGGAACACCTTTCCTTCCACATAGACCCAAGATTCTGCCCTTACCAGTTGTTGCAATGCAGTCAAATCCCACAAAGGCATAAAAGCAGGTGGCAGCCCCAGCCAAAGTTCCCGCAAAGCCATAAGGCATAAAGCCACCAGCCCCATAGATACTTGTTCCATTTTCAGAAGGCAGATCTCTAAGGAAGAGAGCAAGCACAATGCAAAGTCATTTTCATAGAAAACCATTTCTTGGAAGCCTATTGTGTTCACCAGCTCTTTGAAGCTAACATATATAAAATTAAATGTAAATCCTGATTTTTCTCACCCTGTCCTAGGGAATGGTGTGGTGTTCCCAACAATGGCACCCTCTGGGTTGTCAACATCAACTAGAGGTCGATCAATAATAGCATAAGCACAAGGCCCATTTCCACTCTGGCTAGAACTCACAGCCAGGCAGGATTGTGAGAGCAGAGACACCATATATGGGCCCTGCTCCGAAATAAAGACATAAAACCTCTTCTCATGGACAGTTGGGCAGGCTGCACATTTAAAAATTTTACAAATAAGACATTTGAAAAGATGAAATTGAATTCCCTAGGCTTGGTTAATAATATTGAAGTTGGATATTTTATTACATGTTAAAAAGTGTATAAAACCAGAAGTTCCTAATTCTTTGCTTCAGAAGAATGGCTTCAAACAACGTATGTAAAGAAGAACATGTAGTTACGCTTCATGTAAAAGACATTTCTGTAACCTTATTTTATTTGCATATCAGAATATTAATATAAGTCTTATGATGAAACCTTTTATATATAATTATTACTAATTTAATTTTTGAGACTACCAGGTTAAAAGCAAAATGCAGGGACAATTCTGCTTATGCAATCAATGATGTTCTCCAAAAATCAAGGCCTGAAAATTACTAAAAGGCTGAAAGAATGCAATGAAACCAAAGAGTCCTCCCAAAGGAAGAACTAAGGGATGCATGACTCAAAGAGATCCATTGTTTTACAAAGGTGGCAAAGCTTTGGGGAGGGGGGGCGAAGAGGCATCCTTCCAATGGTTAGGATCTCACTTTGCTCTTCTCCTATACCTCCTACACAGCTTGAAGCCAAGAACAAGCCACTGCTTGGCTTCAAATAGCTGCTCAACAGTGAGCACACTTACGTATTTATGTTTGGGGGGAGACTGGAAGAAGAGTCTTGGAATAGACCAGACCCTCAGAAATGTCTCCACAGCAAAAAAAAAAAATTGAGAACCACTGTTATAGAGGAAAATGTAAGACAAGAGTGGGCAAATTAAAAACAAAGACAAAAACACATTCAAAATAAGAAGGGAAAAGCCCAAATATTATACCTGGCACTCGTTGATATATTTTTGAGAAACTCTTCACTAATCTTCCAGTTTGCCACATTTCCTTTCACAAACCCAGCAACCATAACAAAGAGAAGGACCAGGATATTAATAGCTGTGAAGATTTTATTCACCCAAGCAGATTCTTTTACTCCAAAAGATAAAAGACCTATGGAAAAAAGAATGGGTATTGTAATTTTTTTACCCAACTTTTAGTAAAAGCAATGGCATTTTGAGGCAGTTACAGGCTTTAGGATATTATTTTACCAGCATCCATGTATTTAACTTACATTTATCCCTTTCTCTTGCAAGTTCTGACTCACCTGTCACAAGATCTCCTGAATACAACCAACTTGGTTGCCGAAGGCAGATGGTGCTCATAGCCTGGAGACACCACACTCCAAGAGATCAATAAATCTGGTAACTTTGGCTCTTATTATCAATGCGTAGGTAGAGATAAAGTAACTGAATTTTAATGCAATGCTGTTCTAAAAAAGCCAAGGTTAGTGGCTGCAAAATTTTGAAAATAAAAGCTCAATCATATGTCTGCTTCATATGTACAGAATACATAAAATAATTCAACTGTCTCACCAAAAAAGATAATATTTTTTAATTGATTCCCATTTTAATAGCTTTATTTTATATTCTGATTATAAAAGTAATCAATTTCCTTTTCAACTTATTTGAAGACACAGCAAAAATATGAAGGGAATAAAGATCAAATATAATCTCTTCTCCAGAATTTCGGGCATGGACACACACGCAGACATACATACACATTTTCATGCTGACAAATAGATAACCTCATTTTTAACAACCACATACTCTTCTACAATATGAAAACAGTATAATCCCTTATTTATAGACTGTCAGGTAACTCTTAGTTTCTTACAACTATAAATAGTACTGACATCATCATCCTTTATATAAATAGCTTTGTACACTTTCTAATTATTGCTTTAAAATAACGTTCTATAAGGTAATACCATATCAAGGATATGTCCTTTCATACAAGGTTTTTGGTTCATGTTGTCAGAAATATTCTCCAAAAAGTTTGGCCCAATTGAAGCTGCACATTTTTTTCTATCAGGTTATTCTATTTATATCAATTTGTAGGATTTATTTATATAATAATGCTATAAGCTCTCTGTCATGTATTGCGTATGTTTTTCCCAGTTTATCATTTACTTTTACTCTTAGGATTGACTATATATATGAAAGTTTTAGAACATAAATTTTTCCTCTTTAGTTTTTACCTTTAGAAAGATTTTCCCCAATATTAACTCCAAAACGTTTATCTTTATTTCCTTCTAGTACTTTCATGACTTCATTTATCATGTATGTGTGTGTGTGTGTGTGTGTATTTTTTAGAGAGAGAGAGAAGAGAGGGAAAGAGCAGTTGCAAGTGGAGGGGGAGGGGCAGAGGGCGAGAGAGAATCTTAAGCAGGCTCTATGCCCAGCACAGAGCCTGACGTGAGGATCGATCTCACGACCCTGAGATCATGACCTGAGCCGAAATCAAGAGTCAGTCACTTAACAGACTGAGCCACCCAGGCACCCCTATCACATTTTTACCTTTAATCCATCTTATATAGGATACGAATTTATGGACCAAAGAAAGTTTACTTGTTACTTGTGATGAAGAGATTATGCCATATATCTCTACTTGCTTCTTCCACAAACCCATACCACCCAGGATCAAATAAGCAAAATTACCCAAGTAGAGATGAGGAAAACTGAATTTCATTCTTCTACATGTATAATTTTACAATAATATAATTTTTGTAGAATTTTACAATAATGTAACTATAATGAGAGAAAGGACACTGCATCAACGGTATAATTACTGGTTCCGTAGCACTAGAAACCACTATACACCTACACACTTTGGAAATACACTCTGTACACTATACCGCTATCTGCTTAGAAAATAACAAAGCCATTGTCATGTTTTATGAGAATTTCCCAAAACCCCATGTGCACTCTCTATTCTGGGATTAACGACCAATGAATATCTCAACTAAATATTGCAGCGACTTCCCTGTGTCTTTCATAAAGCAAAAGCTTCAACTGACAAGACATTTGGTATTACAATATGAATCAAAATTGATAATCAAAGGTTTTGATCTTCAGAGATTCTAGGGACAAAGTTATCACATGAGCTTAGCCTACACTTAAAAACACACTGGTCAATCAATGACTTGGGGCAATGATGTAGGCCAAGGCCCGAGTCCTGCCACGGGCTTTCATGATTCTAAGTGTGTCACAGCTACATGCTTCTCATCACTTAGAGATTAAAGCTGAATATATTAAGATCATTGAAACCATCCCTAAATAAAATATGACGTAACTAATTCAATGTTAGCTAGGCTGTTTAGAAAGCAAAACAAATGAAATCTATCACCTGTTGAGAAACAATTGTTGTAATTTTCCTTGACATTACAGGTATAATGCCAAATATTTTAGAGCTATAAATTTGGTTCATGTTCCTAACCCTACAATAAATGACTAACTTTTTAAAGGGTAAAGCTACTTTTTAAATCATAGAATTTTACAAGTAAAAAGTTCATGATAGAAAGATATTTTTGTCACACCTTTGTAAGCAAGGGAGAAAGTAGCTGGAGATAAGGCTGGACAGGAAAACAAGGGGCAGATTATCCAGGGGATATCAGGTAGGAAGTGAGAATACAGTATTTATTCTTAGTGAAATCCTTGATTGGTTGAAGCAGGAGTGCAGGTGAGAATGGCAATCACAATAGAAAATGTTTACATAATTAAAACAAATATAAGGTGGCAGCAAGGATTAACTATGCCTACAAAATAAAACTGTCTGCCATCTAAGTGCTTCCTATATACTGGGCAAGAAGTCTTTACAAGATACACACTGATATCCCCATTTTATGGATGAGCAAACCGAGTCACAGAAAGATTATGCCACTCAATGTTCCAAAGATAGTGAGTGGCAAAGTAGGACTGAAAACCTGGTTGTTCTGATTCTAATTCCTGTGCCTTTCTTTCTAAACTAGTACGCTGGGGTGCTTGGGTGGTTCAGTCGTTAAGTGTCTGCCTTCAGCTCAGGTCATGATCCCAGGGTCCTGGAATCGAGCCCCGCATCAGGCTCCCTGCTCGGCGGGGAGCCTGCTTCTCCCTCTCCCACTCCCCCTGCTTGTGTTCCCTCTCTCGCTGTGTCTCTCTCTGTCAAATAAATAAATAAAATCTTAAAAAAACATTTAAAAAAATAAACTACAATGCTACATGACTATAAAATATGGGAAAATTCTAGCAACAAGTATGTTTGTCTACATAATGTCTACATTAAAAAATGACGGGTGGTTTGAATATGCTTCCTTTTCAGCTAAATAACTACATCACATAGATGAAGGCATGAATAGACAGAAATTCTTCTAGAAATAGTATGCTTGCAAATATCCTTAGTTGAGGCTAACAAGATAAAATAAGGCCAAAAATTATACATTCTTCCTTATTGAAACTTCACTGCCATTCCTGCAAATCTCCAATTGGTATTATAATGATGTGCCTTATTTTATTCTTTAGTGCATTCCAAGTACCATTTACTTAAAAGTGTTATTTTTACTGTTCCATAAAATTTAGATTTATTTTTAAAACAGGTCAATCACATAAGAAAAAATGTGATTCCAGCCAGTGACGAGGCCCACAGATACCCAGTAGTAACCTAAACATATAAATATGCCACCTTGTCTTGGGAACTCAGTCCCCAAATCCAGTGGTAACTTATTTTCCTGGGATAGTTAGTCTGGCTCATCTCAGGGTGGAGTGCAATTGGCTTCCTTACCTGCTAGAAGTAATATAAGGCACACAGCAAAAAAGTCAGGATACTCTGCAAGGCCGGTATAATTCATTTTGAAGTATGTCCTGAAAAACTGGCCAATCTGTTTGCTAAGAAGTTCATCAAAGGTGCCACTCCATGCTCTTGCAACACTTGATGTACCTTCCCAAAACACAGAGCATTCAGAGAATATACAGGTCACTGGGAGAAGATGAACATAACATCCTTTGCTACTCTGTTCCAGGATGAACATGGTTTAGCTCAGACAGAATTGAAAATTTGAATCACATATAAAATTATCTTGATAATTTTCCAATTCTACATTAGTAACCAATCACATCCATAAGTGTGGAATCAGCTAATTTTATGTGCATTAAAGAACTATGGTTTTCGTTTTTTTAGAAGCAGGTTTCCAAACTCACTCAGAAGCATATTCAGAGATGAAGCAGAATCACTGCATTTTGCAATTAGGAGACGCTTTAGAAATGAGATAAATGGGACACACAGGGATCGAGTAATTCACTCATGATCACACCGTCACTAATTAATGCAGACCTACAAGGATCTCTGCCTCAGGAGCATGCTAGCTCTACCATTCCACACAGATTGATTTTTTTTTTTTGCAACATACCTATCACATAAGATAAAATGAGATTCCAGCCGGTGATGAATGCCCACAGCTCTCCAACAGTGACATAAGTGTACAAATACGCAGACCCAGTCTTGGGAACTCGGGCCCCAAATTCAGCATAGCAAAGGCCTGCCATCACGGAAGCAAGGGCAGCAATGAGGAAGGACACCACGATACTGGGACCAGAATCTGCTTTGGCCACCTCTCCAGCAAGGACATAAACCCCAGCACCAAGAGTGCTTCCAACCCCCAGAGCAATGAGGTCCATGGTGGATAAGCAGCGGCATAATTTGGAATCTTCTAGACTATCCAGAGTGACGATTTTTCTCCGGATCAGACATCGGGCAAAAGAGAGCGCAGCTCGGCAGGGAATCATTCTGAAGAGAGTAGCCTGGGGAAGAGAAGGGTGGAGGTTAGAACACTTTGGGAATCATCATCCCTCCAAGGATTGACCCAGCTTCTCAACAAAGGTACGGCACCGGCACCATTCTGTTTTCGTTTTACTTGTTCCTAGAAAGGCAGCCTAGAGCAATCCGAGAGAGGGTTGAAAAAGTCAAAGCTGTGAATTTCTTAGAGTTCACTAATCATACATGGCCTTTTCAAAGGGACTGCAAAGAATGGCTTATTTGGGGAACAAAGGAGTGGAAGCTTTGGGTGATTCAAAAGATTTGCCATTGTGGTTCATTTGTGCTGCTACAATTTTTAAACATTGGCTGATAGAAATCTCTTCCAGGACACGGCTCATTTGTCCTCGCCACAAACAAGGGGATGAATTACCTCACTTTTTCGTCAATCATTCATCTGACTCCTATTTTTTACGCCTTATTATGTGCCAGGGATTGTGCTAAGAAATATGTCTAGAATGGTGTGCTGCGTGTTTACGGTCTCCAGCTTAAGGGGCTTGCAGTCTAGCTATTGTCTACTAGTAGGTAAAAGACGCCATCATTATGTTTTCATTTCAGTCTCTTTCATTTTGATGTGAAACCATGTGAACATTTTAGAATAAAAAAAAAAAATCCCCCCCCAAAATACTTGGATTTTTCTAAATAAAACTGCTATTCGGCGATGCTTTGAGTATGAATTTGTAGTAAAACACACATGCTTATTTACATTTACTTGAGATTTCTAAATAGATAAATAAGCCCCAAGTCCATGCCAAATATGATGTGTTCTTTTTTAAATGGAATGAATAAGATAGAAAGACATTCTCCCCATACCCTACAGGCCCAAACAACCTAACACTGAAAAAAATTATCAGGTTATAAAATAAAGCATGGATCCTAGTAAGGAAAAAATATATACACGTATTATAGTAAAAAGTGTGAATTAAAAACGCCGAAATATTAACCGTGATGGGGATCTTTGGGTAGGGAGCTAATTTTTACTTCTATGTATTTCATAGAATATGTATTGTATTGCTAATATATATTTCTAAATTATCTCTAGTAAACATGTACACCTTACATGCAAAAGACCAATAAAAATTAAAAAAACCCAACACGGCCCTGTCTATAGAAATGTATAACTCAGGAGACAGGGAAATAACGGAAGAATAGGGAATATAATAGTATATGCAGCTTATCAGTCAATAAAATTAAACGTATTTAACTTTCAGAAGTTCAGAGTCATGTTTGCCACTTCTGTTGCACAATGATGTACAGAGACGTTACAGTCATTATCAATAACCTGACCTCAGGAGGTCGCAGCTTTGCATCTTCTCTGAAGAACTTAGAGCTTTTTACCCTATAAAATAAACCCTTGAATATTTCTCATCCTTCCTATCTATAGAAGACAACCATCATTAAAATTATTATATTTGAAAAATAATAAATAAGACAAATTTTCTATGTTAAATCTAAATGACTTGATGCTGATACAAGACACAGACATTTCCGGACTAAGAATAATCCAGTTTCACACTAAACCTCGTAGAGAAAGCTAGCTCCCTAAACACGATTCACATATCAATGTAAATGCCAGTCCATGACCTCAAAAGCAGCTAGGTCAAAGAATGTAGAGAAAAATCCCACAGATATAGGAAAATAAGTGAAAGGTTCCTTGACGGTACAAATAAAAGTTCTGCACATCGGTGGTGTCCACACCACCCGACAGAGTGCCGAGCCAGGCACTTCACAAATACTTGCTAAAAAATCTGCAAATACACATGACATCTCCGATTTTGCCAGTATTCTAGCTTCCAAAGTCAAAACCTAATACTTCTCTAAATCAAATGTGTGTCAATTTCTACCCCTACCTAGCCCTTAAAGAGCTGTATCTCAGATAACACAACCAGAAGAGAGAAAGTGATCGGCTTAAGAACGAACCAGGAAGTGAAAAGGTGAGGTTACGGAAAGACCAGATGAGATGGGGACAGGGGAAGTGAAGGTGTTTACTAAATGCTGACCTTCCGGATCATTCAAGTGTTTTTACACAGAGGTGTGCAGAGATGAAGTAAGGAACCCTGCCAACTGAAAAGTGCTCAGAAATGAAGAACCACTAAATTTTAGCAATGATTTAGGATCACGTGAGAATGGGGACATGTCATCTACAACTTTAGGAAACAAGTGATAGGCAAAATGAGGCACCCCTGTTTGTCACTTAACTAAATGAAACACTCTTTTTTTTTTTTTTTAAGATTTTATTTATTTATTTGAGAGAGAGAGAATGAGAGAGAGAGCACATGAGAAGGGGGAGGGTCAGAGGGAGAAGCAGACTCCCTGCTGAGCAGGGAGCCGGATGTGGGACTCGATCCCAGGATTCCAGGATCATGACCTAAGCTGAAGGCAGTAGCTTAACCAACTGAGCCACCCAGGCGCCCTAAATGAAACACTCTTGATAAAGTACTTGATCAACCCCAGATTTTACGAATAAAAGATGCCAATTCTGCAGCTACTACATACTGAAGGGGAAAGAATCTGGAAGGAAGCAAGGAAAACTAAGAAGAAAGGTGAGTGGCAGCATTGTGGGGGAGCTTTTCTTTATTTTTTTAAATTCTTTTTTTCTGGTAATACGGCCACAATGTTGTTTGTGAAATTTCCAAAAGACAAAACCAAACAAAACAAAACAAAATGCACACAAAATCCGCCATAAAAATGAAAGGGAATAAGCCAGCCAACCAATACTACATACCTCTTTGAAACGTGAAAAATAGTGAAAATTTTATGAACAATTACCCAAAATCGATACATGAGTGACCTTCATCTTGTCAACATAAAAATGAATTTGCTTCCTGCTTACATAGGAAGCAGAATGGTTTACAGAAATGTATAGCTTTAATCAGATGAGATCTGGTAGCTACTGCCTCTTTTGTATTAAAAATGGAACGTATTCTATGTTCAGTTTTTCTCCATTGCCCTGAGGAAATACAACAAAGCTGCCATTTGTCAGGCATTCATTTGCTTTGAGTAACAGAAATGCATACGTCAGAAACTCTTCTCAGAACGAACAGGTTACACAATGTCCCTTGCAAACAGCCTCAACTACACACACCTATCTGATAAAATACTGATTGCAAAAGCTATGACACAAAACCAATTTTGCAGAAATATAATGGGATGAGAGAAAAGCAACGTAAAAACATCCTGGGTCCACTTAATGAATCATTATTAAAGAAACATATATTAAATCCTGGCAGGTATATCACGCAGCGTTTAGTCAATAAAGAAAAAAGAACCCTGTGCTTTTGTAAAATACGTTTTTGTGGAGACAGACTGATTTAGGAAGGTAGAATGGGCAACAAGGGAATGAGGGAACAAAAGATATTTGTGCTTACTATCAGTGATAGAATTTGATATTTACAAATATTTATAACTTTTCCTTTAAAATGTTTTAAAAAGATAGGCTCCTTATGGGAGATGGTTATGATAACTTTATCACACTTCTCCAAGTTATTTTCATTGCTGACAAAAAAAATCCACTCATACATATCCTTTGACTCAGGTCTGTATCCACTGTCTTTGCCTGGGCTTTGGTGGGTTGTCTCATCAACAAATAATGATGCAGGGAGAATATGCAGGAATTTTGAAGGTAATTCCATTGGTCTGGAGGGCATAGTTTTTCCAAGAGCAGACAATGATCCGCACCATCATATCCACTGTGAGCTATTGCTATTGTGACCAAGGATTATTATTTCCTACAGAAATATATAGTAAAGGACAATCATCTAAGCTTTTGGAAAAGACTTTTGAAAGAAAGATTTTTAAAGTTAAAATGCTATTAACCAAGGGAGGGTTAGGAGAGATCTTCGATATACCTTCTAGCAGAAAAATCTCTGAATGAATTTAATGAACTTGATGATACAGTTAGATCTTCCTCAGTCCCTCCCTCACCCCTAACCCTAAGTATAATTGTTTCAAGACACCTACCTCCCTGATGGAGCCCTGTTAATTCTTGTCAGAAAGCTAAATTACTTCCTCAGCAATTCGGAATCACCTCCTTCTCAAACTTCTCCAACCCAGGCTACAAACTTGACAGTAGAGAATTTTAGGTCAAGTAAATTCCTAGCTCTGAGGATATGATGATGCCCCAGAGCAGACTTCCCTTCAACTAACCACAGAAATCTTTTAGAATCTGCTAAATACAGTTAAAAGTCAATCCTGGATTTTCACTCGTGTTCAAACATTTGATGTAGTATTTAGTCTCATAGACATGAATCTTTCCTCTCCTCCCCTAAGTAAAGTGAAATCTCACACTTAATCCTCTGTATCAGTATCACAGGCCCTGACAATAAATCTTACAGGAAAAAACAGCTGCAGCAAGACAGTGGGGTGGGCTTTCCAACAAATCCTCAACAAATTAGCTGCTCAGAAACCTAACCAATTTTTCTTGCCTCATTTGAGTTGCTAGTTTCATGATGAGACAATCTGCACTTTCAGTTTCTGGACTGACAGGGGGAAAGCAATTAAATCTTATAAAGAACTGGGATCTCTGCCCCATGCCCCATTGTGATTTTCTCTCTTCTGAACTAGAGCTTTGGGGTTTGCAATCTCCGAGCTCAGTATCAATTATATTTCTACAAGTTTAAAGCTCAAAAACGTATTTTCAAATTATATTGTAGGTGAAATTATTTAGTGAAAAGGAGAAGAGGGATACAGACATAATACCATGAAATTATTGACTTTCATTCTTTTTATGGACGTTTAAGAGATTAATTTCTCAAAAAATATCCTGAAAATATAATGCAGGATAAGAGATCATCGAAAATGGTCAACTGTTCACTTTGGTTAATAAAAACAAAAACAAACAACAACAAACCTTTGCATTCAAACATAAAACCTTTCTTTTTTTGAGAAACAAAAATACTTTTTCATATACATTTCACTTATATTTGGTCCAAAGCTTATCTTTTCTCCAAATCAAATTTTCTGAACAATATCTTCTTCCAGAATTTTC